TTCGTCCAGAATGCCGTCCTCTCAACTCTTGCCCCAGACGTTGTGTATGGTAGATGAACATACAGACTGAATCTTGAGATCAAATTAGATTATATCAAATGAGAAGACGGTAACAGTATACAGTTTTAGTTAACGCAATTATGATATATCCATTTCTTTTATTTTTCAGTTATGGCTAGTTGTCATATGATGGGTCCTTCAACATACTTCGTGCGTTCCAACGTTAAAAGCTTATACTGCATGGCCCTGAGGGATCACTAAGTAAAAAGTCTTTCGTAGATAATTGCGTTTTCACAGCTTTCAATAGCCAAAATTTTCCTGAAATTTATTTGACTGTAATCCAAAAAAACATTCTTTGCATGAGAGAAAACTTAAATAAATGTGATAATTTTGCTCCCAAAGCTTAATCATTCCATGTATTTATAATGAAAAGTCAAATGTACGGGGTATCGTATAAGCTATGTTGCATTTCAGATTTACAGGGAAAAGGGTTCCAAATGTTGCTATTAGAAGAAAAATCACTACAATATTGATGTAACAGGTTTTAAGAGTGAGGTGGCATAATGATAACAGCGCTCACAGGATCAGTGGTTCGCGCCTGTTGCATTGACACTTACCCCTGAGGTTGTGAGTGTAGGTGCGCCTGTGGGACCCATTTCTACTGTATTAGGCTTATCATCTAAAACAGGGGTTCTCAACCAGGGGGGAATTTCCCCCCTCAGGTTTTCAGGGGGGGGGAACTGATACTAATATGGAAAAAATAAAGGATTTTCAGTATTATATGCATATTATTTGGAATGCACCTTTTGAGGCAGACAATCTTGGAAAGGAGGGGGGAATGACATTCTGACATATGGTAAAAGGGGTGCATGGGGCAAACAATGTTGAGAACCACTGGTCTAAAACATAGAAAAAGGAGCTATCGTTCCTAAGAAGTATCAATAATTATAACTTTTTATTGCTAGTTTCAATATCAATTGCTCTCTCTTTCTCTCTCTCTCTCTCTCTCTCTCTCTCTCTCTCTCTCTCTCTCTCTCTCTCTCTCTCTCTCTCTCTCTCTCTCTCTCTCTCTCTCTCTCACCCCTTCTTTCTCTCTCTCTCATCACAATATACCTGGGTTCCCTTTGTGTGTCTTCCAAGATAAGCACCATAGCATTCATCATAGAATATGTCCAATGAGAAGTCAGTACGTGTTGGAGCTCAGGGAGGGGCAGGCGGGTGACAGCGAGAAGCCTCGTCGACCATACCAGGAGGCGGCCCTTGAGGGACCACTCGGCGAAGGCGGCGAGGAAGGCTGGGTCGTCGCTCACCACCACCACCGTCACGCACCATGACACCTGCCGCAGCTGTTGACGTCAACATGGTAGAAATTATTTAAGAGTGACCACTCATATTTTTAGACAAGACAAAACATCCAAATCAGAGACTAATTGGATGGTCACTTATGTTGCAGCAATTTAAATCTAGAAATACGACACATAAAAGGGAAGGACAACCTTTTAGCTGACTGTATGGCCAGAGTGTAATGTGTGGGCAGTAGATATACTCATTTTAGTAGAATTACCCCATAATTTTATCTGAGCTGAAAGGTGTGAGGTAGTCAGCTCGTTCAAGGGACGAGTTATGCATTGTTTATTCTTTTGCATCTTACATGTGATATGTTATGTTTGTTTGTGATATGTATTGTTGTAGGTTATATAGTATATTGTTGTATTGTAAATTATGTGTTCTTGTGCCAATGTTTACATCCCTGTAGTAAGTAATAAACAACCTGTCAACTCTGTGAGGTTAGTTGGGAGGTCTACCAGTAACTGTGAGTGACTCACTCCCTTGGCTTCCTGACGCGAATGCGGTGTCTCTGAGGGTTTTGTGTTTGTACTACTAACCTAACCTAAGCTAACCTAAGCTAACCTAAGCTAACCTAACCTAACCTTAGAGCCAAGTTTACTTTGTGAATATGGATTAGGGTTAAATTATAACGTATATTGTGATAGGTAACACTTATTCCATGTGTTAATTGTAGTGTTAGAGGTTCTTGTCTTTTTGTTTTTCAGTTGTAAATTGATGGACTTTCATTTTCACCTTTATGTGTATATAGTGTAAATACGTTTATTGCTTAATATATTATAGCAGTTTATAGTGTATTATGAATATTTCCGTTCCCCTCTTATCTTTCCTTGTGTTTTCATGTTGCAGAACATAATCATAACCCCAAGACGAGTATGTCAATAACAAAAAGAACATAAGAATGAAGAAAACTGCAACGGGCCTATTGGCCCATATTGGGCAGTCCCATTTACACCCAACCCCTATTGCTCATATATCCATCCAACCTATAATTTTGAAGCTCTCCAATGTTTACCTATCTCGTGCCAAAATCTAAATTTGTCTAATTTAAGACCATTGCTACAAGTTCGCTCCTGGTTGGATAGTTTAAGTACCTTTGTTATATCACCTTTGTTTAACCCTGACTTCCATTTATACATCTTGATCATATCGCCCCTGACTCAACGTCTCTCGAGGGAGTGCAAATTAAGATGCTTTAACCGGTCACTGCACTCTAGGTTCCTTATGTCCGGGATTATTCTTGTATTTCTCCCCTGAATTCTTTTTCGGGATTCTACAGTACATCCATTCTGTAGTACGGTGACCAGAACTGAACCGTGTAATTAAAGTGAGGTCTCAAAAGAGCAAGATATGGTTTTAGGATAACCTTGCTAGTTTTATAACTTACACTCCTATATATGAACCCAAGTACTTTGTTGGCATTTTTTCGAGCAAATACACAGTGTTGTCTTGGTTTATGATTCCTACTTGTAATTACTCTTAAATCTTTATCACAGTCAGATTTCTTTTCAACAACATTGTATATCTGACACCTGATTTCTTTATTTACATCTCCTAGTCTAGACTAAATACTTTACATTTGTACACATTAAATTTCATCTGCAATTTTTCAGACCATGCCAAATAATTTGTTTAGATCTTCCTGTAGTTTTGCAGCGTCCTCGTCAGATTTAATTCCACGCCCTATTTGTGTGTCATCAGCAAATTTAAATATGTTGCTGTCTATGCCTATATCTATGTCGTTTATGTATATAATAAATAATAATGGCCCCAATTACTGAGCCTTGGGGTACTCCAATAGTGACGTTACTCCATTCGGATATAATGCCGTTAATGCTTACTCATTGTTTTCTGTCCTGTAACCATGCCCTAATCTATTTTAGAATATCTCTTCTAATTCCATGAGCCTCCACTTTTCGTATCAGACTTTAGTATATACCACATCATAATCGTGTGCGTCCTCCACTGATTCGAAAACAGTTGAAAAGAATGTAAACAGATTAGTCAGACATGAGCGCCCACTTGTGAAGCCATGTTGGAAATCGCCGATTAACTTAATAATTAAAAATAATAATAATAATTAACGGTTTATTGAAAAAATTCTGCAGCCCGAAGGCTGAAAATATACATTGGACATAAATGACTTATTACATACATTGGGGGTTTAACAAAAGCCTTTATTAGAGAAAGGTAAAGGAACATACAGTGAACATACAGATTAATGTAGGTGTTGAACAGCAAACTCGTAGTGTAGTAACTCCCTCCCAGATGGAGTTAGGAGGAACTCACGTGGTGTAGTAGTTCCCTCAGATGGTGTTATGAGGGACCTCACGTGGTGTAGTAATTACCTCACAGATGATGTTATGAGGGACCTCACGTGGTGTAGTAATTACCTCACAGATGGTGTTATGAGGGACCTCACGTGGTGTAGTAATTACCTCACAGATGGTGTTATGAGGGACCTCACGTGGTGTAGTAATTACCTCACAGATGGTGTTATGAGGGACCTCACGTGGTGTAGTAATTCCCTCACAGATGGTGTTATGAGGGACATGTGGTGTAGTAATTCCCTCACATATGGTGTTATATGAGTGAGGTGTGGTCTTAGGCCTTCCTATCGTAGACGGATTAACACATCTCTGGTTGTTGTTGGGTCTCACGGGCCGTTATCACTGGGTACCTGGGACCTCACTGTTTGAAGGTTAACTTGGATACGACTGTTACTGTTGAGTTGTTCTCACTGACATAAGCACTGTTCACCACTGTTCACCTCTGTTTAACACTGGTTCAGTTCCTTTCCTAAATGAAATTGTAACTTCCGGCGAGAACTTGTTGATATTCCGGTGGGGAGGAGGGTTCAGGGGAGGGGGTTGGTATGGGCCAACTTAACAGTTGACCTGGCTGCTCCGAGAGGAGCGCCAGGTACGTCTTGACCCTTCGGTGGTGATTTCGAATAGAGTTTGAAATTTTAGCTTTCAGTAATTTGCCTACAAATGATGTTAAGCTGATTGGGCGGTAGTTAGAGGATAGTGATCTTTCTCCCTTCTTGATAATCGGTATCACTTTCGCTATCCTCCAGGAATTTGCTACTACACCGTTTTAATGATATGTTAAACACATTTGCTAAGGGCATACTAAGCTCTTCCTTACATTCCTATAATATTCTGGCAAATATCTCATCGGGAACTGTTGATGGTGACCAACCCTCTTCAGTGTTAATGTGACAGTGACCTACCCGCCTCAGTATTAATGTGAGAGTGACCTATTCACCTCAGTAATAATGTGACAGTGACCTACCCGCCTCAGTAGTAATGTGACAGTGACCTACCCGCCTCATTATTAATGTGACAGTGACCTATTCGCCTCATTATTAATGTGAGAGTGACCTACTCACCTCAGTAATAATGTGACAGTGACCTACTCGCCTCAGTATTAATGTGAGAGTGACCTACTCACCTCAGTAATAATGTGACAGTGACCTACTCGCCTCAGTACTAAGGTGACAGTGACCTACTCGCCTCAGTAATAATGTGACTGTGACCTACTCGCCTCAGTAGTAATGTGAGAGTGACCTACTCGCCTCAGTAATAATGTGAGAGTGACCTACTCGCCTCAGTAATAATGTGACAGTGACCTACTCGCCTCAGTACTAAGGTTACAGTGACCTACCCGCCTCAGTAGTAATGTGACAGTGACCTACCCGCCTCAGTAGTAATGTGAGAGTGACCTACCCGCCGAGCCTCGTCGACCACCCGGGAGAGCTGCGCCTGCGTCACGTTAGCGTCCTGGCCGTCCACTGCCACCTCGAGCAGCCCCACACCCCAGGGGGCCACCAGCTGATCAAACTGTTCATAAATTTAACAAAAGTGACAAGATATCATATAATTTGAAGATTTTTCAGTTACTCTCCTAAAAAAATTATAATTATCCGCAATGCATAATATCCCCTCCTCTCTAACATCTTATTCTCTGACAACACTAATGCCTTCTACTGTTTCATCTCTGCCGGTGTTTCATGAAATCTCTACATCAGACAATATAAAATATCACCCGCTCTTAGATTTCATGTACACTCTGCCATCAGTTATAAGACTTATAATCCCCTCTAATAATCCCTCTAAAGTTTAATAACTACCAAGAAGATACGAAGTAAAGGCTTATTACTTCACTGGTATTTCTCGAAAATTAAATATTTCATTTCCTTTTATTATATTGGAAGTCTTCGTTAATCTACCTTATATTTATTTTCATTTTGGAAATTTGATTATTTCACTGAGATTGGAATTTAGTTCGAACATAAATAGGATATTTCAACTTACAATTGACTCGGACGAGTGTGACTCCTTGACATCATTTAGCAGGATAACGCAGCAGGTAGACTGTGCAACTGCCCCAAGTACCACGCCAGCTGATTGGTAAAGATTGAGTAACTCACCATTCTCTCCTGAAATCAAACCGTAAGTGAAAGAAAAGAGAGAAAACTGCCCATTTCAATTATTATTTCATTTTGAAACTAATTCCCTACAATTGAAGGCCTTATGCACGGTTTAAATATATTAATAAAACATATGATATAGTGAGTGGGTTTGAGCCACGCACGGCTCTAGTGATGGGCATATCAATACGACCTCTTTAGCAATAATGCTTAATCAAGATGAGGGAAGTTGCATTTTGTACAATTACTGAGGAGGATTATGCCATCGGCATTACACTGTCCCACCTCGTTATTCCCTATTGTTCCTCTCTATATGTATATATAATATACATATATATATATATATATATATATATATATATATATATATATATATATATATATATATATATATATATATATATATATATATATATATATATACATATATATGTTTGTTAGATAAAATCAATTAACTTACTTGCTGGCAGAGGGAGTGCTCGAGCGGTCTCATGATATATGAACATAAGAATAAATATCGCTGATGCGATCTCGCAAGTCATGCTTACTTTCGCTTCCCGTGATCCCTTTCTGGAAATACGAAAAACACAAAGTTTTTAGCTAATATAAATAATAAGAACATAAGAACATAAGAAAATAAGGAGTCTGCAATACGCCGGTTGGCCTATGCATGGCAGCTCCTGTCGAGAGTTACTCCCACTCTCTATCATCCATGAATCTATCTAGCCTCCTTTTGAAACTCTCCAGCGTTCCAGCACTTGCTACACAGTTACTAAGCTTGTTCCACTCGTCCGCCACCCTATTTGTAAACCAGTTCCTTCCTATCTGCCTCCTAAACCTAAACTTATCCAACTTAAATCCGTTGCTACGAGTCCTATCCTGCTTGGATATTATAAGTACTTTATCTATATCGCCTTTATTGATTCCTTTCACCCACTTAAATACTTCTATCATATCTCCCCGCATTCTTCATCTTTCTAGGGAATGCAAGTTTAGTTTCTTTAACCTATCTTGATATGGAAGGTTTCTAAGTCCCGGAATCATTTTCGTCATTCTTCGCTGCACCGACTCCAGTGAATTAATATCCATTCTATAATAAGGGCACCACAACTGAACCGCATAATCGAGGTGTGGCCCGACTAGCGCAAGATATAGTTGCAATAAGACCTCTGCACTCCTATTACTTACAATGGGGGACCTGTGGTAGAAGCGGTACCGTTCTTGCCTCGCAAGCGAAATGTCACGGGTTCGATTCCCGGGTCGGTGGAAGTTGTTTGGACTTACTTCCTAGCCCCCATTAGTCCCTGTTCACCTAGCAATAAAGTAGGTACCTGGTGTAAGTCGAAAGTTACGAATTCGCATTCAGGGGCAAGTTGTTGGAGCTTCCAATAACTTGATGACATAAACCACTGACTCTTCAGGCATCTACGCCCTTGACTCTTCAGGCTTCTACGCCCGTAACTCGTGAGACATAAAGGCAAGCATGAGCTTAGCATGCTTCCCTGTTGGGCGCTGTAAACACTTCTGCGCTTCCCCTTACACAAGGATGTAGGGGAGTGCCCAATAAAAAAAAAAAAAATTACTTACACTTCTAGATATAAAACCTAATACTCTGTTTGCCTTATTTCGAACATTAACGCACTGTTTTCTAGGCCGTAGGTCCGGGCTTACAAGTACCCCTAGGTCTCTTTCACAAGTCGACTTCTCTAGGTTGATGTTGTTTAGTCTGTATACATTGACAGCATTTGTTCTTCCAATATTAAGTACGCTGCTCTTGCTGGTGTTGAATTTCATTTGCCATTTTTCAGACCACCCCTGCAGTATATTTAAATCCTCCTGTAGTGCATATGCATCCTGCCCTGAATTAATCTGCCGCCCTATTTTGGTGTCATCCGCAAACTTGCTTGTCACTACTGATCCCAGTATCTAGATCGTTTATATAGATTAATTATGAACAAGAGTGGGCCTAGTACTGACCCCTGGGGAACCCCACTGGTTACACAGCCCCACTCAGATTTAACGCCATCTAATAAAAACAAGAGAGAGAATTACAACAATATCAGCAACAAAATAATAATAATAATAATAATAATAATAATAATAATAAATAATAATAATAATAATAATAATAATAATAATAATAATAATAATAATAATAATAATAATAGTAATAAATAATAATATTATTAATAATAAATAATAATAATAATAATAATAATAATAATAATAACAATAATAATTATTAATAACAATGATAATAATAATAATATAATAATAATAATAATAATAATAATAATAATAATATTAATAATAATAATAATAATAGTAATAATAATAATAATAATTAATAATAATAATAATAAATAATAATAAGAATAACAATAATAATAATAATAATAATAATAATAATAATAATAATAATAATAATAATAATGATAATAATAATAATAATAATAATAATAATAATAATAATAATAATAATAATAATATTAATATTATTAAATAATAATAATAATAATAATAATAATATGATATGATATTAATAATAATAATAATAATAATAATAATAATAATAATAATAATAATAATAATAATAATAATAATAATAATAATAATAATAATAATAATAATAATAATAATAATAATAATAATAATAATAATAATAATAATAATAATAATAATAATAATAATAATAATAATAATTCCTGTAATAATACCACTACTACCACTGTT